GGTTTCCTGTCCCATGGAGGTCCAGAGCAGCTGGGGCTGACTGATACAGCCCAGTGCTCCCACCAGGAAGCCCCCCGACCAACGAGGAACTCCCAAACAATTAGCAGGACACCCCTGTTTGCCTCATTAAGGGCAGAAACGCGTCAACACGATCCAGCCTGTAACAACAGCACACTGCAGAGGAACTGATCAGACGGCAAGATACTCAACAGCCTCTCTGACCGCCGTGAATAAATCAGCTGGGAGACCAGGACAGAGACAATGAGAGAAAAGGGAGGGGGGGGGTGGGGGGGTAGAAAATACCACAACCCCCAAACCCCCGGTTACTGCCACGTCAAGTCCAGGCCACAAGCCACGAGATGTTCTTGGCCCACATTACAAGGCTCCTACTGGGTTACTGCAAGTCAGTCCCACAGAGCAGTTTTGTAGTTCACCACGGCCGTCGCCAAGTTTTTTTTTAAACCAGGTATTAATAAAAAAGAAAATGACAGACAATAGAGCTTTGGAGAGAAGGGAACTCTGTAGGCCTTTATAAAATGTAGACTTCAGCTAAATATTACCACTATGACAATGTTCCTTCAGACACACAGCGACCGGAAGAATGGAAACCTCTGCTGAAATGTGACCAAAACAACAAGCCTATAATACATATATGTATATAAATAAGACCTTTGTGGAATTTCCCATCCTTGTCGTCAGTCCACCACAGACTGAAATATCTCAACAATTACTGGACGGATTCTCATGGCATTGCTACAGACATTCACGATCCCCAGAGGATGAATCCTACTGACTTTGGTCATTCTGTGACTTTTCGTCATCATGTAAAAATTCAGTTTGCTCAGTACGTTGGTTGGTGACCAAACACCTGCAAATTTAATGACATTCCCATCATCCTTAGCTGCACTTTGTGTTTAGTGCTAATTAGTAAACGTTAGAATGCTAGCACATTAAACTAAGATGGTGAACATGGCAAATTTAAACCTCACAGAGCTGCTACTGTTGCTATAGACTCTTAGAAAAAGGTTTGTTTTCTTTTTCACAATATTATAAAAGCGTAACAAGAAACGTAGCAAGCGTTAGCATTAGCTTATATACAGTCTATGGAGTGTTCCACTTAGAGCTCCCCCTGGAGGCCTGGAGCTCTTCTATTGTGTTGTCTGGATATGCAGTGATTTTTCTGTTGCATTTGTTTTAGAGGTTCATGTGTTTTTGTTGTTGCATTGTTTCTGAATTTGCAGCGTGTATGCTCCTCTTCCTGCAGCATGTTCTTTCATTTGCAGCACGTTGCTGTTCTTGTAATTGTTTTGTATTTCCATATGCTTTTTTGAATGCATCGTTTCTGTATTTTGCATCTCGTCATTACATCTCATCTCTAATGGAAGTGTTTTGAGCCGTTGCAGCTTGTTTGCCCTTGTTGGCCACCGTAGATTTATGCCTCTCTGTATATTTAAATGAGCTGGAAAAAATATTAGAATAAACTATAATTTAGACCACCACAAAGTAAAGTCTCAAACAGAGAGAATAGAACTAAAACACAACCAATTAAAGTCGTAAGGTCAAAGTAAACTTTTTAAGTAAGGTTGCCTTTTATTGCAGGGCTGTTACATTACATCATGCTGGTGTTTTTTTTTTTCTTTGTTGGCCACTCACTGCATTTAGCAATGAATCAAAATGTGCAACTGGCCACATATAATACATAACAGATGTGCATATTGATGAACATGTGAAATATAATCCAAAACCACAAATTAATAAAAAGAGAAGCTGATAATTTATTCAAACCATAAATGTAACATCTGTGTAAAGTTTGAAAATACTGTTTAATTTGATCAAACAAACTAATGATAAATGTCGCTTCTTGGCTGTAAAATAGTTTGAGGAAGCGGGAGAGTTTTAAATCAGACAGATTCAGTGAGGTATTACTCACCATTCACTCTCATATTCTTTGCCTATGATCATCTGAAGCCTCAGGTCGTCAATTGTGCTGCTCTGACATCGAACAAGGCCACAACACGCCATAAAAAAAAACATGTCTTGATGCTATTTGGCTCAGCTCTGACTTCAAAAAGCACATGTTTTGCTCATGTTACCTCACCGCTGACAAAGGTCTTCGGCACACTACTGTGCAATATAACGTATGGCTTTGGCCGCCTCTTCCAGACTCTGTGTGAGCCAAGGGGAAGCGTGCAAACCTCTGCAGTCAGCAGAGTTTTATGGCGGCTTGGCCGTGGCCTCCATTGCTCTCAGCCTCAGCAGCAGCCTGCGCCCTGCACCCTGCAGCCTATAGCTCCGGCTTGAGGCCAGAGAGAGATCCGATTCAGACTTTCCATGAGCAGACATGTTTGCAACTCTCTCAGGGGGTGGTGTGAAAAAATGTTTAACACAGGGGGGTCCTGATGAATATGAGAGGCCTGAACTAACAGACAGAAGATATCAGACAATAGGGCAACAACGAAGTTTGGGTGGGAGGTGAAAAACACCTGACAGGAGTCGTTAAACATTCACGTGTTTGAAAGTTATTTGAGTCAAATTGAGGTGAAATTAAATCAAACGTCTCCACGTTAAATGAGTAAATGATAATGATTAAGTACAGATCATTATATACTGAATAACAGCTTTTCATATATGAATATTTTCATTGACAATCAGCTCTTTAAAAGTCTCAGGTATCATTGACTGAGTTTTAATGAGCATACCTGACAAGAAATTACAGTAACGCTGCACCTGAACGAAGCCAAACAGCAAAAAGTGCTGCCAAACTCTGCCAAAGGTTTTAATGAAGTGAGAAGCCGCATTTATTTTAGTAAGATTTCCTTCAATTTGCCAATGAAAACAAGAGTAATTGTGGCCCAGCACCTCAGAAATGTCCATTATGGCTGTAACTTTAATTCCTTCAGTTCTTTGAACATAGAAATCCTCAGAGATGTGAGCAGTGGTGGCACCAGTTACAACATAATTACAAATCAAAACTGTAGGTCTAGCCGTCCAAATGTCCCTGCAGACAGGGCTAACAAGTGTTAATGTATTTACCCAGACTGTTCAGAGGAAGTGCCGATGGGAGCAGTCTGAGTCCTGCAGTCTGCGTCTTGTTCAGGAAGCTCAGGCCAGACGATTCAGCAGGGGCTCTGGTGTTGGATCAAAGCTTTGCTGCTCTGTGCGCTGATAGCTGCTGGTTAGTGTTTCTTCATTTACTGCGCTCCTCTCCGGGACTTATGCACAGCCAGGCCATGTTTTTTCTTGCCCGGAGGAAGATCATTTATCCAATTTATTTCAAATCACCGCAGCACAGAGCACACGGCCCCCGAACCTCAGCGGTGAGTGTAGAGGGCCAGAGCAGTGAGATCATTAAGTTTGTGCTACTAAAATCCAGCTCTCACTGAGATAAATAAAAGGGCGTCACATTCATTTTATCAAGGAGCCTGGTCACATTCAGGGTTTAAAGCCAAATATATCAAATACTAGACCACCGGGCTTCTTTGATCTAATGACCTCAGAACAGGGTTCGAATTATGGGGGCATAGGGGGAGTCTGACTCCCCTGTTTAAGAAGGTAAAAGAGGTCAAAACAACAGTTCTGGTGGTTGAAACAGCCTATTTACCTGTAAGTGTAAATGTTACAATATATTCATGTATCATATATATTCATGCCTGGAAGAATCTTGTTATATGATTTCAGACACCCCTAAAGTGGACTGTACTGTTTCTTAACCTTGACTTTAGCTGAACGTCTCCTCTACCTGTGTCACTCCATAAGTGGCCCTGCCCTTAAGTCTCTTCTCCCATGCATTGAGCATGCACTGAAGGTAAATGTAACTAGCAGTAGCTAACTCTCTAGCTTGTTTAATGAACTTTACTGTCTAACCATCAGAGTTTCGGAGTTAAATTGTGTCAAGTATCTACGGATGAACACTAATGTTAACTATTTTCTAACTTTAACCTTAAGTTACAGTTTAGCTAACTAATGTTAGTTAGTTTCTAACTTTAGCCTTAAGTTACGGTTTAGCTAACTAATGTTAGTTAGTTTCTTACTTGAGCCTAAAGCTACAGATTAGTTAACTAATGTTGGCTAATTTCTAATTTTAGCCTTAAATTACATTTAAGCTAACTAATGTTAGCTAGTTTCTACCTTTTACCTTACCTTAAGTTAAAGTTTAGCTAACTAATGTTAGCTAGCTGATAGTGAGCCCTTTAATTTCCAGTGTTAACTTGTCATTTCATTACCAATATAAAATCTGATCTTAGCAAACACTGGTGTTCAGCTCATGAGCAGTGAGACAATGGAGGATTTGTTGTTGTAGAAATATGTTTTTATCATCACCGTAGAGTTTATTATTTCATGTTAACAGTCTTTTGTGTTGCTGTAGTGGTTTAGCTGGTCTTTTACCTGTTTTGCTGGACCACAACAGCGGGGCCACCCCTTAATGGCGAATGTCACTCATTGACTGACTGAGTGATATTAGTGATATGAGAGTGATATGNCCCTTAATGGCGAATGTCACTCATTGACTGACTGAGTGATCATACATTCGCCATTGGTCAGCCAAATGCCACGAGAGAGGAAATATTGTTCTTTCTACTCCACCACATTTACTTGAAAGCTTTAGTTTAACAAGCATGATACTGTAAATACTTCGGTTCACTGAGGCACGTGCCTGCATTGTACTGGGTTCCCTCTGACCCTGGACAAAAAGTTTTTTTTCTCAAAATGTTGAACTGTTCCTTTAAATAATACTTGCTGAGGAGATCTGTGCCAAAACAAAAGCTGCAAATGGAGGTTTGAAGGCCGAATGTTTGAGCTCCTGGCAAGGTGATCGGCGAGACATATGATACTGATCAAAAACACTATCAGCACCTGCAGATATATTATGGTCATTTATGCTGGAGGCAATAAAAACCTTTTGTGTAGTTAATTACGTTGTTGGACAAGTTCTTCACGTTATAATTTTTTCCATGCATCAGAAAAATAAGCATAATTTAGTAAAAACTGTTTATACTCACCATCATCGAGGTACATCTGGTCCAGCTCCTGCGGTTCTTGTTTGATGCTGACAGCCAGTGTCGGGGGGCTGCCGTCCTCCTGCAGGGGGGCTCGCCCTCTTTCTGGTGCTTTGGGGTGCTGCTGGGTGGCTGGGCTGGTGCTGCCGCTGACCGGCTGGGCTGGAGTCATGCATTGGGCCGGAGAGAAGGGGGCGTCGGTCGGGGTGGAGGGCTGCGAGGTTGGGGAGGAGGAGGAGCTGCTGGGCGGGTAGAGGCTGGGCAGCTGGTAGCGCCCGGGGGTCTCCTGGATGATGGAGACGTGAGGGATCGGGGACTGGGGGCCCTGGTGTGGGACCGCTGGGCCGGCAGGGGGGCACTTGGGGGAGAAGGGTGACGACGACAGGTCGTGCAATTTGGGGCTGGTGCACGGAGAGGAAGAGGAGGTCAGCGAGGAAGGCTTGGCTGTCAGTCTAGGCTGGCTGACAGGGTAAGCTCCACCAACAACACACGGCCTGGGGTCAGAGGTCATCATCGCAGGGGGCATGACCTGCGAGGGGAAGTATGGCTTTGGGTGCAAGGCCAGGGTGGAACCATGCTGAGTGCACAACAAGGGGGCGTCGTAGTCGTCATGTGGCTCCGTCTTTATTGTTGGAACTGAGGAGGAAGAAGAGGAGGAAGAGGAGGAGGAGGAGGAGGAGGAGGCAGAACAGAAGGAGGAAAAGCTAAATGAGTAAACACATATTCCAACCTTCCTGAAAAGTGTGAGTGAGTGAGTGGGTTTGTGGCTAGGAGACCTGCTGCCAAACAAACACTCTCATCAATGAGTCTCTGTGTCTGGGCCTGAGCCCCCCCCACACCGCTGCAAATATTCACCAAACCAGAAAGAAAGAGGGAAAAAAGGGGATGACTCATCAACACGAGAAACATCCAGCAGCTTCTACAATAAAAGCCCTATTTTCTTTGGATCCCGCTCTGGTGCTAATATCCATTAAATGTGTGATATGAAATATGTCGCTCCAGCAGCAGCTTCATACTCAGCAGGGTTCAGTCATTAAAAAGAAATTACTGCTTGCTCATTGAGACAAAGAGAGAAAGTTGAACCTGGCATGAGAGCTGCTTTTTAACCCCAGATTCAGCTGAAAGAGACAAAATGGTGGCTGCGGGGCGTTCATGGATTGTGGTTATTGTACGAGCGCAGAGTTCAAACGAGGCAGGGCTTGTTCTCAGTTGCTGTGATCTTGGCCCCTCGTTCAGATTCCAGCGCAGAAACTTGTTGGACAGTGAATTTTGAAATGTGGGCCATCAATCCGCTGCAGCTCGTGACACGACATCAGTCTTATATAACGAGCGTTTCAGTCCAGATACAAGAGAACGACAGCGCGGCTCTGACTCTCAGCTTCATCCCCGCATCACTACACTGGATCTATTCCTTCTGTTCATGGCTGTGATGAAGCTGCCTTGGATCATAATATGAAGCATGTGTTTGAAATCAAAGCTCAAGTAGTAAAAAACAACATATTGATTATATTAAAGAAAAAATGTCAGTCAATACCAATTCTGTATAAATCTAAGGATATATTAAATTATAAGGCCTTGTATTTAACTTACTGCTCACTTATACTTCCCTTTATAACTCATTGTGTGGACTTACTTATTGTTTCTAAATTCCTCAAGCTATGAAATTGAATGATTTAGTTTATTATCATAAAATAATGCAAATAATGTTCAGAACTAGATCAAAGTTTCTCCCAGACTGTGTATAAAGGTTTAGTATATATCATGTGAGAGGTGTTTGTATGTTCTATATGTTGTTGAGTTTCCCAAATTATTTCCATCATTTCTCAAAGCAGAGAAATCTGTGATTTTAATCGCCTGTCAGTGACATCATATCCTCTGTGATCATGTGTCAGTGTGTTTGTCTGACAGAAGCTCAACATTAACTTTTATCTAGTTTTAAGCCACATACACTTTTGACACCTTGGTGGTTTTCAGCTCTATATTTGAACCAGATGAAGGATTTTAGTCGTCGGACGTCTGGATCTGAAGTTATCAGAGAAACAAGCTGAGGAAATGTTAGACAGCTCAGCTCCCAGCTGCTGGAGACGTCCTGTCCTGTGTCACTGAAGAGAGGAGGACACCTCTGTGGATCATTCAGCTGCTGGTAAAAACCTGCTGAACGTCTGCTTCATAAGTTATCAGAGAAACAATCAGAACAAAGGTTAGCATCAATCTCAGCTCCAGCTCTTCCCTGAGTCTCTGTCCTCCGTACAGCGTCGCTCAAACACTGACTTTAAATGTCAAACTGCTTCATTCAGTGTTTTTAACGGTTAGAATCACCAGGTCTGTTTGATTTCCTGAACCACTGACACTGAAGGAATCCAAACTGGGAGGAGCTTACAGTAATGGTGGTGAAGACCACAACTCCCATGATCCCATGCTATTTCATGACGTCTTTTGTTATTGTTTTGATTGAGAGACCCCTTGCAGCAGAAGTTACAGACTGTGCGTTAGTTAATACATAGACTGTTGACTTGTTTGTATTTACTGTATTATGTGTGATGATGAAATAAAAACAACTTATACTTTTTCTTCCTTCTTCCTTGCAGCTTTATTCTTATATTTGACTGATACACACTGTTGTTTAGTTGTTTATTTGTTTTTCACGACTCTTTGCTTCAGGACGTTTTTCGAAAAGAAGATATTTTTATTTTACAGGGTGTAGCCGGCTAAATAAAGGATTAATTAGACTAAAAAGAGTGAAACTGGGACGCGTCATGCCAAACTGCAGCCTCCACTGTCAACAACTGTAAAAGAGGAACTGCGATGGGATGGTTACACCAACCGCAGGACTTAAAAATAGCACACACACCCCTATTCTGGGCCTGTGTGGAGGAAGTGTGTGTCTGTCTGCCTGTGGAGGATTGGCAGATGCGCAGGCACAGAAAAAGGAGCAGAAGAAGAAGTGCAAATCTTTGTCTCGCCACAAAAGAGGAGCCGAGCGTGAAAATCAGCCGTATGTGGAGCTACTGTACGTCCCAAAATAAACCTGTTGTTTCTGTACGAGCTGCTGTCACACCTGCTGCTGCAAAAAAAAAAAAAAAAAAAAAAAAAAAAAAAAAGGTAACATGATGTGATTTTGAAAAAAAAAGAAAATTAAGCTTTGGATCATTTTTTCCACCTACTGTTTTCACTCACTCTGCCCACTGCTTTTACACTTCTCTTGACTTTCTCCTTTGACAGATCACATTGTTCACCCAGCAGCCCTCACCCTTTAAGAGACACTGACCAGACTAGCTGCCCCCCCCCCCACCTTCCCAGTCTGTCCCCTCCCTTACACTCTCTGCATCCCGAGGACAATGCTCCACTTTCACAGTGGGGCACTCCGTCGCCCACATACAGGGCTGGGCCAGTTCACTTGAATCGCAGCTTTGAACCACCCACTGGATTTTCGCTCTGAGCCCAGAGCGCAATTAGCAGCGGTTTTCTACATTTCAGTTTCGTGGGTCAGTGTTTATATTTAGCTTGGCAACAGGTTCTCTATTCAAATAACATGCTTCTTTTCCCACGCCCCCCACCTCACCCCACCCTCGAGTGTCCAGTCGCTGCAGCGTTCATGTAGCTACAGGTATGGGAGATGAAAAAAAAACACATTTTATGGATTTTATTTTCTTTACAATGGAGGAATATTAACGTCGCTTTGTTCCTCCCTAGAGAAACCACCAGACGAGAGGGAATGCAAACAGTTTGTTCTCGTCTTCACGTGTAAAATCTGGAATAAAGTGTTTCTAATTAGTCTGGGATGTGAAAGTCAGAGTCCTGCAGTGATGACAGGAAAGTCAAAGAAAGGCCTGACTACTGTTTGTCTATTAAACGTGTTGGTGATATTTTCTTTCATCAAAGGTTTTTAGGCTTCACCAGCACAAAACTCTTGACGTATCATATCTAAAGACTATTTCTTTTTTTATTTGTATCACTTATCTTTATTGATTTTGAACATTGTTTGTCACTTTTCCAGAGTGGTTTGGATTCATCTTTCAAGTCTTCCTTGAAACAACTTTCCCCTCCTTCCTTCCCAAACCCCCCCCACCCATGAAATGATAACCATCAGCTTATATGACGGCAAAGATGATGGTTTACATAATGATAATTAATAAATTACTTAAACCACAAAAAAAGAAAAAGAAAACGAATCTCCAGGAGGACAGGGATCTTTCTGTGGATTATGTTGGAAAGTGTGTTCTAAAGACTACTGTTAACCTTATTCACATCCTGAATGAATAATAATAGATACCGTGCGTCCATATTTTTGGATGAATGAATTTCACCAGAAATTCGGTGAACCTGTGAAACAGCTTCATCCTTCAGAGGAATATTGCTGCAAAATCCACAAATCCACCGACCGACAAGACGATTCTTTATCTCCATTACTCACACCACAACAGCTCTGCTTCCCATGAAAGTGTGAAGCAATCCCACTTTTTCAACTGCCATTTACCCGGACCGAGAGGCAGCCTGGTGCAGCCACAGTCTGATCTGTTGGAGTTGATTGCAGCAGCTGGCGGGGTCAAATGCCTTGCTCAAGGACACCTTATAGGTTTTAATGAGGGAGGGGCCAGCGTTGCTCACCCTGATTTATCCTGTGATCTGAGGATCAAAATGACGAGCTTCTCTCACCTTTGTGTCTTTTTCTATTTCCTTGTGTTTCCTCAAAAACTACAGTACAGTTCAGTACAGTACAGTACAGTACAGTACAGTCATACTTCAGCTGACACTCTAAAGCCCCTTGATGCCGTCGACCACTCTGCTCTCAGGTTCATAACTGCTGATGCTTACGACACTCATCACTGCATCCTGCACTGAGGGTTGGATGATCCTCTCTCTCTCTGAGAGGTGTGATTTGCATATGGATTTGTTTATTTACAAAGCTCTTATAAAAAAAAAACTGCCTTCATATCTTACATCCATGTTAGTCTGGTCCACTGGACCACATCAGAGCAGGACTAAAGACTGGCTCACGCTCCAGTTCCCTGGAGCTTTTGGCTTCTTTGCACCATCCACCTGAACTCACCACAAAAAATGAATCGGTTGGTTCCTCTTCGTCATTTTAGATTCTTAATCTCTGACCTTTTCACTTCTGTTTGTACCTGTTTTAATTGATTCTTGTCATTACATTATTTATTAATTGTAATTATATGTTTGTTTTAATTGATGTTCATTTTTAACTGGTATTTTTATCTATTCGACATCATCGTAAATGAGAGATTAAATGAAGTCATTTATATCTCGTCTTCATTAAAACATCTAACTCTGAGGCCTTTGACTTTGATCTGCTCGTTCCTGATTGGTCAGGAGCAGTAAGTGTCAGTATGAGGAGGAGAGTGTTACCGCTGGCGGGGACGAAGGTGAAGCGCTGATACTGGCTTCGTTTCCTCTTGCCGTTGCAGACGTAGAAGTTGACGTGGACCGGAGTGGAGAGCCTCTGGTTCCGATACGGAGGGATTTCAACCAGGAGCGAATTCTGCAAAACAACAAATTCAACAACTTTAACAACTGAAATGAAGAAATGCTGAAGTTATTGTAGTGAATAAAGCTTTCTTATTTGGTTTATGCTACATTTAGTTTTTCTACTGACTGTATAATTTTATCTACTGACTTGGCATTTAGTATTAATCTAATATTATCTAGTTCTTCCATTTTCTTTATTTCCTTTGCTCATTTTTATCGTTTTCATTCTTTGTCTGGTCTCATGCTGCTATAGAACTTATTTACTAAATATTACGTTATCTTATCTTGTATTAAGTATAAAATGGGCTTTGTACTGTGCACAAAAAAGACATGTACACACAAGAGAACAGAGAAACTGAGCTACTTGAGGATGACATTCTTTACTTATGATCTTTCATAGCTGGGGGGCACACACTAGCACAAAAACTACTTCATTATGAATTTATTGTAACTTTGCTGTAACTGTTTGTTTCCATCTCTTCTTGAATGAATTCTCACAGTCATTATTATTAGTATTTTGCCTTGTTTCTGTCTTTGTCTGGTGGAGACGGTTGGGAGACACAGTGCCGGTCAGTAAAGGGGATTTGAGATCTGGATCGCACCAAATCTCACAATTTTAAACTTCTGCCTCTTTGCTCTAATGCTCCTCTGATCTAAACAGTCCTAACTTTTCAGTCACTTTCAATCATAAACTTATAAACCTGTGTCGTTAAGATCAATTTTACACAAATGTTATTCTTCTGAAACTCTGTGCACGCCTGCAGACCATAGCTCCTAGCTTTGTTCTTGAAAGCCTGAGGTTGTGTGTGTGTGTGTGTGTGTGTGTGTGTGTGTGGGGAGGGGGGGGGGTGAAATCTGAAAATCTGGTTGTAATCCCAAACGAGAGAGAAAGAGAGAGAGACCCTGAAGCTGAGTTGATAGAGAGGCCTGGTTGTTTGAACAGTGAATAACTTGAGCTGACGTGAATGAATTGAACTGGGGAGTGTCCAGATAGTTTATTTCCCCAGCAGAGCTTCCTGCTGTCTGGGGAGGGAACGAAGGCCAGGAGAGACCACGTCTCTGGGTTCAGCCTGTGAACACATCGGCCCCCACACGTGTGTGTGTGTGTGTGTGTGTGTGTGCGCGCACGCATGAATATATATGTCTGAGTGTGTTGGAGGTGCTGCTCGGTAGCCAGGGAGGAAGTCATCTGTCTACAGAACGGTGCTTTGGAGGACGGCCGGCCCTGACATGTCCAGGTGAAAGCTGACACACGTTTTATTAAATCACTGCAGTCGTAAAGTGAAGTGAAGCCAGATGAGGCTTTTCTCCTCTCGTCTTATTCACAGCGATCCATCCGTCCTTCAGAGGATTAACTGATAAAAACCTGTAACCGTGTCCAGGTTGAACAGGAAACATTTGCAGCATTTCACTTTGTGTGGCGTCTGTCCAACGTGTCAATTTATACAATTTATGAAAAACAAGCTTAATTTTAAACCCAAAACCCTGGAACCAGTGAAATCATTCATTTGCGTTTGAAAGTTTTATGTGCACACGTGTTGTAGTGTAAAAACATCTCGACTCACGGAGGAGCGAGGGGACGTCTCATTTGTGTAAGAAGCATGGAAATCACAACAACCGGCACCGTACTCTGCAACAATTCCTGAAATAAAAACTAAATCATCCCTGTTGTCCCAGACCGACCTCGCTCCTGGTGGAGGTCAGTGTGTGCAGGTGACGGAGGCGCTGAGGTATTCTGAATTTGTGGTTTGGTGCAGCAGCAGAGGTCAAACCTGGCCAAGGCAGCGTCAGTGTTTAAAATGGGATCAATCCAGCAGACTGGGCTGAGTGGTGGAGGGAGGGAGGGAGGGAGGGGGAGGGAGGAAGGGAGAGAGGCCCTTTGTCTATTCAAGCAGACAGATGTGTCCCAGCAGTCGCTGTATGAGTGTGTGTGTGAGAGAGAGAGAAAGTGTGTGTTTTGCAGTGGGAAGACACTGGGAGCAGGTGCAGCGCTTCACATATAGACACCGTCTAATCCCCTCGTCTATCTCCCAGACTCCCACCACTATCTCTCTCTCTCTCTCCCCCTCTCTCTCTCTCTCTCTCTCTCTCTCTCAGCTGTCCCAGACCGAGACAGAACATACTGCCAAACTCAAACTCCCACAGGTTGAAGGTTGAACTTTTGAAAACCTTTTCTACACGTTTGAAGCACAACACTGATGCCCCCCCCCCCACCCCAGGCTAAGAAAACCTATAGTCATATTCCAGTTACACTTAGACCAGTGTGTGTGTATCCATTCTGTGGTATGAGGCATGCGTGGTGTAAATAGATATCTTTTTAGGCAATGTGCTCGTTCGCTCTCTTGTTGAGAGTTAGCTGCTGTCATGTCTGCACAGTCAGTATGAAGCTACAGCCAGCAGCCAGTTAGCTTAGCTTAGCTTAGTTTAGCAGAGAGGCTGGAAACAGGGGGAATCATCGAGCCCGGCTCTGTCCAAAGGCAACAACATCCAGAGAACCTCCCATAAACCTGTCATTGGTACAGTTTGGTTTTTATAGGTATTAAATAAATGAGATTTAATATGTGAAGAAGTGGAGCTTTAGGTGGATTGTGTTATCTTCAGACAAGCCAGGCGAGATGGTTCCTCCTGTTTCCAGTCTCCATGTTAAGCTAAGCTAAGCTAAGCAGAGTCTGGCTGTAGCTACATTTTCACACAGAGAGTGGTATTGATCCTGTCATCTAATACTCAGTGAGAAAATAAGAGTATTTCCCAAGACTGTTCCTCTAAAGTATTTTCAATAGCTTGGGGAGCAAAAGTAGCTGTTGAGTTAACCTCTGCACATTTACATCGTTAGTTTCACTTTCCTATGAACAAATAAACATAAACAACAGCATGTAAGATGCTACTGAAGGAAGAAATTATAGAATATAAATGATTAAAATGAAAATGAGAAGGTTAATAAAGCAGTGGTTCTTCATTTATTATTTATTTCCAGTGGTGGAGATAAATTTAGAGTGAACTGACCCTTCAAAGTAAAGGACTTTATGTACATTTAACTGACCCTTCAAAGTAAAGGACTTTATTTACATTTAGGGTGAACTGACCTTTCAAAGTAAAGGACTTTATTTACATTTAGGATGAACTGACCCTTCAAAGTAAAGGACTTTATTTACATTTAGGATGAACTGACCTTTCAAAGTAAAGGACTTTATTTACATTTAGGATGAACTGACCCTTCAAAGTAAAGGACTTTATTTACATTTAGGGTGAACTCACCCTTCAAAGTAAAGGACTTTATTTACATTTAGGGTGAACTCACCCTTCAAAGTAAAGGACTTCATTTACATTTAAGGTGATTTGACCCTTCAAAGTAAAGTGCTGAACCATGTGAACTGTAAATCTAGATTGGTAATTCAGAAATCGTTATTTCTGTTAATGTGGAGACTGAAAATGTTTGTCCAGTTTGAGAACAGCTGCTTTATCCTCACTTTCATCCTGAAATCAGACCAGATTCATCACAATAACAGTGTCATATGTCTCACTTACAGGCTTTGAGGCGTCTCTCTCAACCTTGGCCTCAGTCTCCCAGAGGTGGTGACCGTCTAAAAAAAAAAAAGAAAAAAGAAAGACAAAAGAGGAGTTTGTAATGACAAATCAGAAGATAATCCACCTACTTGGCTCTCAATAGAAATGAAGGAATGGAACGAGTGTTGTTATTATTATCTGTTACATCAGTGATATATAAAAGCGCTACAGAGCTGAGGCTATCACAAACGTCATCCTGTCTGACCCACAGCTCATGAGCTCATATCCTCGTCTGACAAACCTGAGACAGAACGAGAGAACGAGACAACAAACCCACAGAGAGACACAGACACAGACAGAGAGAGAGGGAGAGAGAGAGAGAGAGAGGAGTCTGATGCAATCCTAAAAAACACAGAGTCATACCAGAGAGATGAGCGACATCTTTGGTGGATGAGAGAAACCTTGACTTCATTGCCGTGTGGAATCCCAACATGCTGGAGCAGCTGGTTGGCTCGTTAATACGCAGCGACTGGAAACTGACAACTCGCCTCGGCTTTTTGTAACCCCCTTATTTCTTCTGTTCTCATAGGAATCTTTCTGTTATCCCCATATAATGATTGTTAAATGGTATTGGTATTCTTTCTCCTTTTCTGGTAATGTGTTTTTTCTCCTTCAACTCGCCACAATAAAGAGGTTTTCCCATCGGGCAATAAAACGAGGCATCATACGAGCTGCTGGAAAACACAGCCGCGCTAAAAAAGCAAGCTTAATTTGTCATTCTGCCCAATGAGGTGTGAGTAAAACTATATTTTTACCAATTTATTAGACGCAGAAGGAAACCATAGCAGTTTCTTCAGACCCCTGACTCATTAACAAGCCTCTAAAAAGACATGAAATGACTGTGAAAGTGACTTTACGTGGAAAGGAAACTGCAGTTTACAGAAGAAAGGTCAGCTGTGGCGAGATTGTCTTGAGGAAGATTAAATGAGATATGTGCCGTGTTGCTCAACAGGCCGTCTGCAGTTTGATAAGTGGAGGGTTTGGAAGGAGCAGACAGCACTGTGTGGATGGATGGGGCACCACTTGTTTGTGCAGAGGGGAGTTGTGATGTGGCAGAGATGGAGGAGGTGCAGCTTCTATTATGTCTGAGGAGACTCTGTTCTGATCTCACTCTCCTGTTTCTCCACTTCCCTCCCTGTCTAGCACTTTAAGTTTTAGCTGCTGCTCTGCAGGATGAAGTAAAATCACGTGGATCATCCAAAAGAGAATGACACCTCCGTGACAAAATTAAATACATGTGTGCGCAAAGGCTGTTCAGAAAGAGGCCACACAAAACACCTTAAGTTAAGATTCTCCTTAAAGTCTGAGTTAAGGTTTCCTTAAAATAAAAGCAGCTGCACAGAACACCTTAAGTTTTATCCTTAAGGTTTCCTTAAAATGTTCACCTTGGTATTTAAGGTTTTCTCCTTATCTTGGTCTTATACTTAAGGAATCACTTAAAGTCAGTTAAACTGTTGCACAAAAGAACTTGTCTGTCTTAACTGCAACAGGACTGAGTTTATGGTGATAAATGAAGACAGTGAACGCATCCCAGGAAAATGATGATGATGAAGTGTGTTAACGGCGCAGTAGAATTTTACCGCTGTAAAATCTCTTCCACTGCCAAATGCCTTAGAGTTAGGTTTCCTTAACTAAGGAGACATTGGAAGAGATTCTGTGCAACAACCTTAAGTAACTCCGTCAGCTAAGGAGATATTAAACCTAAAGTGTCATACTTAAGTAGAAAACTTAAGGTGTTTTGTGTAACCGGCCCCAGAGATACAGTGGACACTAAGGGAGGGAGAGAGGCTGAGCAATGAGCTGTCAATTCTGGAGACATGTTTTCAGACATTTTTTTGAACATGCTGAGGCCTGCAGACTTTTCTGATTATACTTAATTTGGTGACTTTTCCAGTGCACCTGCTGAAAATTATTTTGTGGAACTGGGACATGGTTGTGGTCTCAGTATTTTCATTTCTTGCCAAGATTTACTCCAGACGTTTGTGAGCCTGATGTGCTCAGTATTTCAGGCAGCACCTGGAGACTGAGGCCTCCGCTGTTGCCAGTCAAATGTCTCAGACTATTACTCATACACAGGTTGTTATCTATAATAACTTGTATTTTCTATGTCTGTACCAGTTTTAAAAAAAACAGAGAGCCAACTTGCGCCCAAATGATGCTTGGTTTAACGACAGTCAGTATATACTGTAAGCTGTAAATGGAAGTGGCTGCAGACAGAGTCTAAAGCCGTGCTGCAAATAGAAATTAGAAACATGTAAAAATGCAGTACTGTGCATCGATACTGCAAATACACTGATTGGGTTTTCTGGTGAAGACAGAACCTGATGTTACTTCTTTCACTGTGCACAGATATTCCAAGACAAAACAATCTGAAGAGAGGTTGGTGGACGATATTATCTCTCCATTAATTCCACATTAGTAAAGAGAGACATGCAAATTTCGGCGCGAGACAAGAGGATAAGTGACGACACTCTGCATCGACACTGTGCGACTCAGACTGATAAGCCACCAGACAAGGAAGTGATGCGGCACCTTTAATGTGAGAAGCTTCGAGGTTCCCCTAGAAAATTTCAACTACTTTTCTCAGTTCTGCTCAGATCATTTATCATCATCTGTGAACCCGTCACCTCTGTAATATTGTTGATTTCTGTAACAACTGTGGTCTGTCTTCTGAATGTTTTCCCTTTATCTTATTTAGTTATTAGATTTTGTCCCATCTCTGTGTTGTATTGTCATATTGCTATTGTATCTGTCCAATAATTCTGAGACTGGTCATAGGGTCACCATGAATTTCTCTTAACCAAACTGCTGCAGCCTTAACCCTTTCAACCCAACGAAGAAAAACCTTATACAGACAGAGATAACAAATGGCAGCATATAGCTATAACACAATCCTTCTGTGATCACCATAGGAGCAAGCTGCAGACATCTGGGATGCACGTACACACATACACACACACACACACACACACACACCAGTGAGTCAGTGTGTGGCACAATAAATCAAACATAACCATGTTGCAAGGAAACCTCTGTGTAAACAATACACAGCTTGTCGTACAGGAAGTTGTACAGGATGCTCCGCAGCTAGGCGCTCTGCTGGAAGGACGTCTGTATGTGAGGAGCATCCAGTGGATATTCTTATTTCACTGCAGTAGAGACATATTTTTACCAGAGAGCAATCATTTTATCAGTTGCTGAAAAACATGTTAAATTAAGCTTTGACTTCATTAAGGATGTACAAAGTCGTTCTTTTCAGTGTCCTGAATCACTACAATTGGTTAATTAAAAAGATTCATTCACTCTCATTCTGATTCCAGCAGTTTGAGCCACTATCATCTCGGCTCACGATCACTGTGTGGTACGTTCAGTAGTAGATCCAGAATGCAGCTGCTAGGATGCAGACTGGGACAAACGAACACGAGCACATCACCCCGGTCTCAGCGTCCCTTCACTGCCTTCCTGGTCACTTCAGAAGTCAGTTTAAGACCCTGCTGATGACCTTTAAGGCTCTTAATGTAGAGCCCCCTTCTGGTCCATGGTCATGTTCAAACTGAGTATTTGCTTCTTGTTGTTTTCCTGTGTTTGTTAGTATACTAATTTGTCTCTTCCCTGCTTTCCTTGTTTTTATGTACTTTGTTTTACTTGCTTTTATTTAATTCAACTGTCCTTTGTGCAGCATTTGTTCAGCTCAAGCTGTCCTTAAATGAGCTCTAGAAATAAAGTTGACGTGACAGTAAACGAATCACTGAACATGCGGAGTTCACCTCACAGTGAGAGGCTCAGACACTCAGCGAGTCTCTACTCTCCTCTCACACGGGTCAGTCTAACATTTGAAGTTTGCGTTTATCAGGGAGCTCAGTCATGACAACGGGGGAACTTGAAGGTGCGCGTTTGCTTTGTAAGTGTCTTGTGCTACATTAGCCGTTAGCTCGGAGGAAAGAACGGCATCCATGTGAGTGTATCCCTGAGAACGAATGACGTGAATCACTCACTTATCTCTGCACGTTGGCTCACAGCTGACTGAGAGCTCCACTGACTATACACGATCGTTTCAGGAAGTGATTCAGTTCGGTATGTTCACCTAAAAGAAACAACAAAATGTCCGTGAATGACGCTAAACTAAAACTTTATCCACTGACTTAACTCAACCAGTGAGATTACTGCTTCCTACAGAGCGGCTCAAACTTTTAAAAACTGTTCATACGACTATAAAATACAACCCTCTGCTGTGTCTCTGTCTTTTTCCCTCCCTGCCTCTCTTCACTTCGGGCACCTCTCCAGAAGGGAAGCCTTCGCCGTCGACGTCAATCCACAGGAGGTAAACATGTTTTTCAGATCTCCTTCTCTCTCCGTTTCCCCTCGTCTGCTTTTCTCTCTCTCTGACTCACTCTCACATCATTTTTCACATCAATACAGAGATAGAAAATTTCAATTGAGCAATTTGTTTTCTGTGCCCAGCTACCTGCTGCCAGGAAACTTCTCTAGAGCCACAAAAAAAAAGAAAGAAAAAAGAAAGCTTTAAAAAGTTGAATGCATGGGATTCCTTTGTTTGAAAAGAGTGTAGCGGATAATTGATAACCACAGAATGTAATTGATAACCACAGAATGTTCCAGAGTTATAGGTCAACATCTGCACAACGCCTGCACCAACCCAATGAAAAACTTCAGTAGCAGTTACTCTCCAGCTCCTCTCCTACCAAATTTCAACGAGCACAATATGGTTTCTGACTCCCTAGCCCACTATCTAAGTTAAACAAGCTAAAACCTCCCCAGAAACCACCCTGACCGTACAGACCGAGAGCCCGGAGCCCAGAGCTCAGAGCCCCTCTCCAACTCTCACAACGCCCAACCTCCTCTCTCCTTGGCAGCGTCCCAGCCGCGCAGAAGTCTTTACAATTCACATTTCGTTAGCAATGGTCTATACAAATCATTACTTTCTCAGAACAGACATAACACAGAGCAGTCAATGACACAGCGGTGGTGTGCTGCACAGAGTCATGGCGATCAAACAATA